CCCCAGCCCTGCCTCTTTCTGGCTTCCGCCCCCTCCCCCTGAGCGACTCCAGGAGCCAGTGGGGTGGGCTGGGGCCTAGGGCAGATGCCCCGGTCTGTCCTATGGACGTTCTGGGAACCGCCAATAATTATACAAACCTGGCGCCCATGCTATTGAGAGTCTCTGAGTGAGGATAAGGGAAAAGAACAGAAGCGATGTTATGGTGGGGGGGGTCTATTACAGACACCGAATCAGGAAGAGGAAGTGGATGACTTAATCTACAAGCAGGTAACAAGATTAGCTAACATACGAGCTAGTATTGATGGGGGATTTTAACTTCCCTGATATCTATTGGAAGGCAACTGCTGCAAAACATAATACATCCTGCAAATTCTTAGCATGTGTACGGGACAGCTTTCTGACTCAGAGGTTGTGGAAGCTCCTTCACTGGAGGTTTTTGAAAGGAGGCTGGAGAGCTCCCTGTTTTGGATGGTTAGACTCAACAAATCCTGCATCTTGGCAGGGGGCAGACTGGCTGACCCTTGCAGTCCCTCTAACTCTATGGTTTTCTGAGTCTATTAATAGAGCCCTGCAAATCTGCGGATATCCGTTTTATTTCTGCAGATGAGGATATCCGTGAATGACTTTTGCAGAGCGCAGATCAGATGCGAATACAAATGTTGTATCTGCGCAGGGCTCTATCTATGAAATGGATCAAACCCTCCGAATAAAAGAAACATTGAAGAAATTGACTATACACTTCTGCCATCTACTGGATATTGATGGAAGCAGCAGAGAAAGTGAGCAAGTTGAAAGCTGCGCGCCAGTTGGCAAATGACCAATAGAAATCCGAGGGTGGCCCCGCCAATGAATCCCAGACTCAGGGTAGATAAAACTGAGGTCATCAGCAGGTGGCACATCCCAGAGCTGACTACAGCTGCAGAATCCCCAGTGCAACAAGGAAGTGGTGAGATTCCATTTCCGAGATTGTTTCTCCTTCCGTTCTTTCACATAAATAACTGAAGTTTACCTGGATGAAGTTGACACTCTGTAGTGACCCATCAAGTACCCATATTTTAGATTCTGGCTAATGCTATATGCATGACTGCCTTTATAAATTCAAGCAAACTGACCTAAGAGAGCTGAACTGTAACTTCAAACAATTGCTTTTGATATTCTAAACTTGCCCCCTTTGGACCAATCCACTCAAATACCTGGGACCATATTCTTGAAAGTCCCTTAAAGACAAGTATGTTCTTGCTGCTTGGAGAAGTACTGAACACATGATAAATGTATTGGGTACTAAGAACTGATGATTGATGTCAGAAGTAAATGTAATATGAGATCTTGGTGATTTGCATTGTTCCTCTGTGTAACTGCTAGCATCGCCCTACTCTGGCCGGTACTGGTGTAGTTAGTACTTGCCTAGAGTACTGGTTGTGTCTACACTCGCTTGGTGAACTGCCACTTGTATATTGGTGTGGCGCTGCATGAATTCATAAACTGTTGACTGGTTAAGAATAAGCAAGTGTCCTGATTTGAGAAATACTGTTCAAGTTAAAAGTTGACCCGAAAAGACCCCAGCACTGAAATCAGTAAGCTAACACTCCCTGGACTCAGTACACAGGGCTTATTCTGTTCGATTCCATTCTAGATATGCTAGAACATGTAGCCAGTTGGCAAATCTAGGTTCCAGGTTTAAAATCTAACTGGCACCTCAGAAAATTCCTGCAATTGACTCCCTTGTGAGCTTACAGAGTCTCTCAGGATTGTCATTCTCGTGCCCTGGGTCGACAGGGTGTGAGAGAGGAGAACCCGTTTGTGTCCTGCTTTGGGGCTGCCCAGAGCTGCAGGGCAGAGAGGGGGCGGTGACTATATTGGTAGTTATGAGGCACCAATTAGGCTGATGGGTCGCGTTCCAAAGGCAGGAATTGGTGCGTTACTTGGTGCTCGGGCAGTTGATGCAGCACAGGAGTGCCATGGGCACGGCACATGGGATTTGCAAGTCCGTGCATGTCAAAATCTGGTCCTAGAGCAAAATGCTGAGAGCTCAGATTAGTAAGCGTACCGAAAACAGTCCCAGAAGCAACAGGTTAGTCAGTGTTTCACAGCAGCAGGCTGAGAGCGTCGGCTTTAACCAGGTCCCCCGTTTAGTCTTGCTGGGGCCATGCTGGCACCTGGTCAATTCTTCCCTAGCTCTCACTGCTCTGTCAGCGCTAGCTGCTTTCTGGAGCCGAACCCCCCTCCGTACAGTGCCAGTTCATCCACAGAGCCCTCCTGAGATGTGGTACCGCTCCACTGTGCTCCAGCTGCAACTCAGCAAGGAGCCAGCCACTCCCCGGCAGAACCCAATGAGAGATTTACACCAAACCCAGGTGTGTGGCCTCCAGCAGCACGTGGGTTAAACACCCTGTGGTCAGTTCGGCAGTGAACTGTTGAGTCGCTAAGGTTCTGGACAGCAATCAAAGCCAGGTGCAGCTGCAGGAAGCACAAGACACTGATTTCTAGTTTCATAGCAGTGACTTCCACTAGAGTGACAGTTCTGAATGTCACTTCACCACATCTGTCAGGACCCTGCACAATTCCTCCTCTTTCTGCTTATTGTGCCTAATCTCCTGGCTCGTGGGCCATGCAGGCTCCTGTCCGGGGAGGAGTCTCGGCGCTCCTGGGAAAGCAGGGCAGGGGCTGGGTGCAGGATGGAGAGAATGGGGTGAAAGTCTGTGGGCCTGATCCTGCTCTCACAATGGAAATGCCATGGCAGCCAGTGTGTTACACAGGGGTAGGTGAATGCAGAACCAGGGCCACTGATTCCTGATGGACTCCACAATACGGGGGGAGGGATAGCTCAGTGGTTTGAGCATTGGCCTGCTAAACCCAGGCTTGTGAGTTCAATCCTTGAGGGGGCCACTTAGGGATCTGGGGCAAAATCAGTACTTGGTCCTGCTAGTGAAGGCAGGGGGCTGGACTCGATGACCTTTCAAGGTCCCTTCCAGTTCTAGGAGATGGGATATCTCCATTAATTTAATTTATACTCTGTCCTGTCCCCTCTCTGAGGCAGACGACCAGGAGGTGGGGACAGCAGGCTCCCACCCGGGAACCTCACTCACAAGAATGAGGAGCTGCAGGGCTGATGCAGTTGTGACAGGGACTTGGTGTTCAGCCTGGATCTCTCCAGATGC